TGCAGAGAGAAAAATCAGTGCATGACCTTTGTTCAACATCTAGAGCCACCAGGCAGGCTGTCCAGGTCAACACGAGGGTGTTTCACAAACTTAATCTATAGTGGGATTAAATTTTATTTTGCTGCAAATTGTTTTTCAAATCCATGCAGCGCTTCCTACAAACCCTATGAAGATCCCTCATAAACACAGCCTTTGCTGTGCTGAGGAAAAAGATCAGGAACTGGAAGAGCCTTGGGAAGCAAAAGAACCTGTAGTATTAAGGAATTACAGTCCTTGGGAAGGGAGCGGTGCAGGGAATTGCAGCAAGGCTGGTTCATCTGCCTCTTAAGACTCACGTCCCATATGTGAGTGCCTGAAAACAGGCCTGGCTCTTCTGCTTCTGACCCAGTTTCCTGCTAATGCAGTTCAGGACACAGCAAATTGTCCCTAAGTACTTGGATCCCTGTCACAGCTGGGAACCCAGACGGAGCTTCTGGCTCCTGACTTCAGTGGGACGCAGCCTTGCTGTTGCAGGTATGTAGGGGTGGATGGAAATCTCTGTGTCTCTGTCTCACTTTGTCATTCTGTTTTCAAAGAAGTTAGCAAATCTTCAAAAAGGAAAATTGTAGTGAAAAGTGAACATTTGGTATAACAGTTTACTATTTTAGGGGACCCAATAGGATAGCTCAGTTGGAGTCAGATCAGACAAGGCTGCTGTACCCATAGGTATGTGTGAAGAACAGGGTGGAACGGGCTGTGTCACTGTTACCAGTGCAGCTGCACATGAAAGCTTGGACTGGGGACAGACATGGTATGGGTCTATAGGGATCTCCATGACCTACATAGCTAGAGCATGTAGGCGTCAGTCTGAGATAAAGGGGTCTCCCTGACTGCGCCACTGCACCCATCAGTACGCCAGAGAGTCAGGACTGGGGGTGTGCCAGGCCAGGCTGCCCCACTTGCTGAAATGCATGAAAGTATAGTTGGGATCTAAGGGGTCTCCCTGACTGGCCCATTATATGTGCCAGTGCACATGAGAGCCAGAGCTGGGATGGACTGGATTGAACCACAGGAGCTGGGACTTGGTGTCAGCCTGGTAGGAGTTCTGAAGTGGCCTCCCAACCAGACAGGAACATTTGGGAGATAGGGCAGGCACTGGCTGGATAGGGCAACCCGGTCAGGCGTGGGCTCCCAGAATCACATGAGAGTGCCTTAGACTGACAGGATGCCTCATCTTAGGGACATCCCATGGACATGTGGTCCAACTGCAGAGCACATGCTGGGGGACAGGGTCATGCCCATTGCTGACTCCAGAGAAAGGATGAGGAACAAACCCAAATGCACATGGAAGATAAGACAACTGGATCCCATAATCCAGTAGAAGTCCTCCAGTACCTCTTCAAAAGGTGGAAAGAAAGCAAGTGGCACTACAGTTCTGTGAGAACTCAGGCCAGGTTCTATGAGAGCACCTAGGCCTGGGGACACACTGAGGCAGATACGGAAACCAACAGACCTTGGAACTTACACAGAGAACAAAGAGCCCTGTGTGGGCAGAAGGACTGTGTCACCTGCTGCACAGCGACCCCTCAAGCCCCAGGACACTTCTCTGAGGTGACATCAATAGACCATCTCCCTCTGGGCACTAAGAAGGTCTGACAGCAAGGAGCAGCGCACCAACATCCACCTCCACCCAAATCTCTTACCCCCCCGCCACCTTACCTTCTCTGCCCCTATCAGGAGCCCATGTGAGTCTGCAATCCTCACCCCTTCACCTTTATAATTAACATTAAAAAATAAATAGGGACGAGCACAGACACATAATAGGCTAATCCTCAGCCTGAGGTGCTGGCATCTCATATGGACGCTGGTTTGAATCTTGACTGCTCTACTTTTGATTCCTGATGATGGTTAGAAAAGCAGTGGAAGATGGTCCAAGTCCTTGGGCCCCTGGACCCACATGGAAGACCCAAAATAGGCACCTGGGCTCCTGGCTTTGGATCGGCTCAGCTTACTTACTGTTGGGATGCTCTCCAGTGTACCTGGTAAAAGTGGTGATCTTTGTAGCTTCAGACTTTGTATTTTATGTTCTTGAACCTCACTCTCATAAATATAACATTAAATTCTTAGGAGTCAACAGTTCTGAAGGGTCAGCTCATCTCCAAGCCTGAGGTTGGGGTGATGACATCAAGAAAACATAAATCTGAGAAACGGGAATAGCGCAGGCCCCTGTGTGTCAGCCCCCACAGGATCCCAGATGCTGAGCAGCTTCTCCAGCACTGTGCACTCAGGTCCCCAAGGCCTTGCACACGCTGATGGACTCAGCCTGCTGGGGCCCTGCTTTCCCCATCACCTCCCGGGAGGCCTCTGGGAAATCAGCTGAGAAATCCCTGCGGATGAGGAGTCCACACTCTGGTTTTTCTCAAGATAAAGTCTGAGCTCACGTTCTGATTAACAAACGGCTCTCAGCAGATTCCTCAAACGAGGTCATGTTTAGGCCTCCGTTTTCAGCGGTCATTTCTTCAAATTCCTCCCCTTGATTTATGAGTCATTGCTGTCTGTCAGAAAGAAATATTTGGTGAATATAAATGAACTACATCCTTGATAGTGGTCTATTTTATTTTGGGGGCTAAGAACCATTTCCCACACAGCACTTACGTTAAACCGATTTCTTTTTTATGACACTTGACACATCTGTGGGGACCCATGTTCTTCCCATTCCTTACGTGGAGCATTGAGGAAAGGGTAGTTCAAGTGCCCAGGTCACCTCCCCAAAAACCATTGCTGACATGACCACATGGTTGCTTCCACCAGCTGGCACTGGGAGCCCAGCTTTACCACTCATGCCTTAGATGTCACCATTCTCATAGACAAAAAGATCTTCCATCCACAGGTTCACCCTCACTAATGGCAACAGCAGCCAGAGTTGAGGCGATCTGGAGCCAGGAGCCTCGTCTAAGTCTCCCACGTGGGTTCAGGGTCCCAAGGCTTTGGGTCATTTGAACCATGCTCTACTGCCTTCCCAGGCCACAAGCAGGGAGCTGGATGGGAAGCAGGGCTGCCAGGATTAGAACCGGCACCTGTATGTGTACCCAGTGCTTGTAGAGGATTAGACTAGCCAATTGAGCCATCACACTGCACCCTCTGCCTTTCAAATACACATATAACCAACATCCTTTACAACTAACTACAAGCAAGACTTGAACGTGTAAGTTGCTGCTGTCAACCAAGAGTATATTTACTTCTGTACAGCCGAAAACTAGGGATTGCGTGTGACCAGCCACCGTCAGGGCAATGAGTGCATTTGGGAGACCTGTCTCTCAGAAGGCTGCAAGTGTGCAGGCTTGAATATTTTCTTTGGCCTCACTTTCATGTGGTGTTGTAAGAGGATTATTGTCAGCTATCGAGAAGAATCCTCCACTGTTTCCTTTGCTCTTTTCTGCAGTCTAGAAAACCAGCAATGTTTTTTGGGGGGAGTTTGTTTTGTTTTGTCAAAATTACAAGGATACAACGGGAGGTGGGTTTGCCTGGTAAAGCAGAGGGCAAAGTTAGGAAAGGTCTAAGAGAGAGTTTGGAGGAGTAACTCTAACAAGGCACCATGCTGCGCTCCCTTATAAAACTCAGGCACAGGCTTAGGGCCGAGCTCTGCCTTGCCACGATCAAGGGCTTGAGCTGCACGCCACCTCGGGGTGCTTTGCCACACTGTGTGCGGCTGCGACCCGGTGGAAGAAGATGCGTCAGGGAGCTCAACCGGCAAACGACTGAAAAGCCTTCGCAGCGAAAAGGTTCTGTCTGGCCTGCAGGCGGCGCCAGGCTTAGGGCTGGAGCCGGGCCACACTCCGGCCACGCGCCCATCTCGATCCGGTATTTGCAAACCCACAGAAGCCGCCAGCGCCCGCCCGCGCCAGGCCTCAAGTGTCCTTAGCGCCAGCGCGGTGGGCGGAGCGAGCCGGGCTGTTCGTGTCTCCTATTGGCTCCGGGGGGTTACAGACAGACGTCCATCGCCAGCCCCTGGAAAGGAGCGTGGCGACAGCCGCACGCGCCGCCACCTGATCCCCGGGCGCGGCGCAGGGCTCGAGGGCGGCCGGCAGGACCACGCATGCGTGCGAGGACGCGCAGAGCCGCTGGGGGAACTCAGGAATGGGGCCGCGTCCCCGGCAGATTCCCCACCCCCCGCAGCCTACCGCTCACGTGATCCAAACTTGAGCCACACTGTTTAGCCTTCCTGACGTGACGCTTCCATCCCCTTACGCCGCCAGTAATTCCCTCCCGCGGCCTTGACACAGTCCCTCTTAACCTCAGTCCAGAAACGGGCCCCGACCCCACCCCGGGGTCCCCTGAGCCATTGCTTCCCTTGCCTCCTTCAGGAAACTCTGCTCTGATTAAGCCCGGAGGGACGGCAGTCGTCTCCAACGTCTGGGGAGAGAGCTCCGGGCCGAGGTGCCGAGGTGCGGGGCCAAGGCCCCAGGGCCGACCTCGCCCCCGCCCGCCCCTCGCCCCACTCCCCTGCGCGGGCGCGCACAGGAAGCCAGGCAGCCGGCTCGGGGACACAGCTGTATTGGGAAGCAGAGGCTCCTACACAGTAGGAGGAGGCACGTCCCAGTCCCAGGAGGCCCGAGAACTCTGTACACAACACGCGCGTGGCCGTGGCCCCAGCCGTGGCCGTCCGTCCGTGCGTCTGTCCGCCCGCCCGCCATGCGGCCCGCCCGGGGCCCGGTCTATGTAGGAAGCCCGAAGGGGCGAGTTAAGGCAGCTTGGCTGGAAGGGAGGTGGAGGGAGTGGGAGTCAGCCAGTGCACCCCCGAAATGCTGTGGCTCACTGAGGGGACAAGCTTCTCGCCTCCCACTCCTCCCTCGAGGACACGGGATGGGGGTAAAATTCAGTCAATAAATAACCCCGCGGTGACCAGGGACCCCAGGAGACTCTCAGAGTCCAGGAAAAGCTGGGGGGTGGGGAGACAGGAGGAAGAGGCCATCTGTCCTTGGGCCTCCGTGTGCCATTTGAGGCCGTCGGAGCAGTTCCCTTCAAAAGTTAAAATGGCTGCCGTTAGGGACGGCCTGGTGAGAGGGCCCGAGGAGAGCCGGCTTCGGCGACAACGGGGATTTGTCCATGTCCACTCTCTTCGGGGCGCGGCCTCGGTAGCCCTCAGGCCGGCCCAGGTACAGGAGGTGCCTGCCGGGACCCCCTGAGTACCTGGAGGAGCCCCCGGAGGGCACCCGCGTGAGCAGGGCAGGGGGCGTGCGGTGGCTGGAGAAGGGCAACCTGCGGCCACCCCCGACCCCGAGGCGCGGGGCGGGGGCCGAGAGCGCTGGCCGGGCTGCGGGGACCGTGCCCTTGCCCTCCGGGGGGATGTCCAGCCTCAGGGGTGGGCTGCATTCCCGGGCTAGGGGGCTGGGGTCTGCAAAGAGCGCGGGGGTGGTGGCCACAGGCTCGGGCGGAAGCGGCCGCGAGGTAAACGGGGCCGGGGCCGGTGGCTCGGCCTCCTTGCGGGGCGCCTGCTGGCCGTGCAGGTAGCGCAGCAGTTCCTCCAGGGTGGTGACCTCCACCGCCTGCCCGGGACAGCCTGGCGGCGGCGGCCTCACGAGCACGCGCGGCGCGGGCATGCCCGCCGCGTTCCCGCCCCGCGCGCGGCCCGGACCCTCCTTGGCGTTGTTGCCGTTCTGGTTCCACTCCCAGGGCCCCCCGGCGACGCGGTGGTGCTTGGCGGGCAGCTCGGGCGTGGACTCCGGGGTGGGCAGGCAGGCCAGCTCGGGCGGGGGCAGGGGCACAGCCTCGGGCGGTGGCAGAAAGGTGCTGTAGAGCTGTGGCGTCTGCGCGACGGCTCCGTCCTTGCCCGGCGGCGGGGGCTCCGGGCCACCGCCACCGCCGCCATGCAGCCGGGCCAGACTGCGAAGGGAGAGCGGGCGCGGAAGCCCGGGAGTCTCGATGTCCTTGCTTCGACGTCGTCGGTGGGCGCGGCGACAAGCGCAGGAAACCAGGAGGCCCGAGACTGAGGCGCCCAGGGCGAAGGCGGCAGCCACGCTGGCCAGAAGGAGTGGGATGGGGACGGAACGGGCGGCCGAGGCTGGGGGGAGGTCCCGGCGCACGCCTGCCGACCGAGAGGGAGGAGGGCAGGCCTCAGCCGGGGCGAGGGGGCAGCATTTGCTGCTGCTGTTGTTTGCACTCCACGCAGCCCGGGGCCCTTGGTTAGAATTCACCTCCCCGGACCCCATCAACACACGCAGCCCACTGCACCACCCCACACGGGACCGAGAGGCCCCATCCCACTTCTGGCCCCCTGGAAGCCATGCCAGAGCCATGACCACACTTGCCCTCGTGCACAAGGAGGTGGGTGAGGCTGGGAGGCCCAGCTCTGGGGAGGGGAGAGGAGAGAAAGGGTGGAGCTGAGCGCCCCAGGAGTCCGCAGCCCCACACTTCGCTCCTGTCCCTCCCCGGAAGCCCCCTTACCCTGAGTGTGAGCTCCAAGAGTGGAAGACTGGGGCCGGGGGTGGGCATCACTGGGGGGACTGGGGGTCTCAGGGGCAGGGCCAGGACCCAGAAGCACTGGTGACAGAGACCAGGCCAGAGCCAGTGAGGCCCCTGCTCCCATGCCCAGCCCCACCCTCCCGCGCCAGGCTCGACATGCAGGACAGTCTTTGGTTTGTTGATGCAAAACTATTTATTCAGGCCCTCCTGTGTGTGCGGAGCCCTGGGCTGGGGATCTGTCCCTCTCTGAGACTCTGGGGGTGGCAGGGCAGGGGGAACCAACGCAAGGGCAGGTGTGGCTGGGACAAAGCCAACTCACCATAAGCTGAGTTTCCAGGGCCAGACTGGCTTCCTGTGGCTCCATCTGCGATGAAGAAAGAGGGTGAAGTCCGGAGAGAAGAGTCGGGGGAGGGGACACCGCCCAGCCTTCCAGAGAAGGTGTGGCAGGGATAGATGGGGACAGGACAAGAGCCCGGGATGGGACGAGTGTGGTACACCCACCGTTTACCTTGGCAGTGTTCTGTGGAGTCCTGGCTCCCAACCCAGTCCACATCCATCCTGGGAGGAAAGGCAGGTAGCTCAGGGCGGCCCTCCCCGTGCTCCACATTCCCCCGCTGGGGGCTCACCTCAGCTTTCTCTCTCTCGGGAGAATGGATGACTTTGTTCTCAAGTGCACCCAGGGCCCCCCTCACTTACCCACCACCTCGGATGTCCACACAGCCCCTGGAGCTATGCCAGCCACAGTATGGGTCCTGAGAAGCCAGGCAACTCCTAAAGATGAAAAAAGCCAGGCTGAAACCCTCTCCCCAGGGGTGACAGTCCATCATGCTGCTTCTCCCACCCTGGCCTGCAGGAGGCTCCCAACCCCGCCCCTGCAACACCCCCATCTCCAGCCCCTGCCCACTGCCCCACAGTCGCCTTCTGTCCCTGCTCTGCTCCTGTGTCCACTCCTGCCACATGGCCATGCTTTAGGCCCTTCTCACCTGCGGCAGGCCCCGTGCCGAGCACACCGGCTGAGTGGGAGGTGAACGATACAGCCAGCAAAGGCCACAAAGAGCCGGTGGCTCTCAGTGTCCAGCTCCAACCCGATAATCCGCCGTGCTGTCTGCACTGCCCGCTTCCCACCGCACCTAGGGTGAAGCCAGAGGGAATCAAACATGGAGTGGCCCAAGCTGCCTTTCCCCTGGCTGCATGAAAGGAGGGAAAACAGCCAACAGCACCACCAGCCGAGCTCAGTGTGTGCAGCCATGCTGTCCAGTCTTCTCCCTAAGTCCCTCCTCCACCCCCACCTGGCAGCTCCAGCCCACTAGCCATCCCCACCTGTCACCTTGCATCCCACCCCTGCTCGGCAAGGGGGCCTACCCTCCAGAGGCCTCACCGGGAGGGGCTGTAGGCGTCAATCTCTTCCAGGAAGACAGGCTCGGGTCTCCCGGCTGGGCCCCCCGGGGGCAGCACCTTCAGCACTGTCCCATCATGGGAGCCGAGGAACAGGACAGTGGTGTTACTGTGGGGACCAGCCATGCCATCCACAGCTACCTGGGTCAGTAGGGCCCTGAGGGGACAGGCCTGAGGTCAGGGCAAGCTGCCTAGTGGGAGCCACAGCCCACACCCTTCGCAGGGACCCTAGAACTCCCACCCTTCGGCTTTTCCCTTCCCTCGGCAGCCTGATCTTGCTGGGTCCAGAAAAGAGGATAACCAGGGGGCAAGAGGTCAGTGCTGCTGAGTCCCCTACCTGCTGGTGAGGGTGAGGAGTGGCTGATGGGTGGCAGGTGGCACAGCAGGGTCCAGAAGTGGGTGAGCCTTGATGAAGATCAGGACATCATCAGGGAAGTCTCGAGAAGAGGAGAACAAGGCAGCTCCACCCACGCCTGCACAGGAGCCAGGCCTGGAGGGGCACACAGTGAGGGGCCTCCTTAGCACACTCATGCCACTGCTTCCCCTCCCAGCTGCAGCTCTTCCATCCCACCACCGACCCACAGCAGCCCCTCCCCAGGCCTCAGGCACCTTAATCCCTCCTCACAGTCCCTTCTTGGAAGCAGACACGGCTTGCCTCCACATCTCCTTCCCCCTCACCCTCTGCCCTGCCAACAGTAAAGCCAGCCCCACCCTGAATACCTGGGTGAGGGCACCCTGTCCTCAGACACAGGGGTCCAGGCCCCATCCAGACTCCTCTGCTCCTTGAACTTGCCCTCAAACCCACGCTCAATGTCATCCAGGTAGAAGGCACAGACTGCAGAGCCAGGGATGCTGGGGGAGTCAGAAAAAAGATGCAGGATGGTTGCTGAGAGGGAACAGGGCTTCCTCCAGGTACCAAGTAGTAGCTTCCAGCCAGTGGGGCAGCCATGGGAGGCAACACTCCAAGCAAAACAGGTAGGCAGGACAGGGAGGCGTCCTTCCTGGGAGCGTTCCTCACCACCCCGGCCGCATGGATAGATTTTGCCAGGGGAGTTGGGATGCTGGTGAGGCAGGGACAGATTGCATCCCCCTTGCCAGCCTGGTCCCCACCTGTTGGTCTGGGTGGTGAAGACTCCAAAGAGCGCTGTGCGGCCATGCAGGTTCACAGGCCCGGTCAAGGCCTGCAGGACATCAAAGTAGAAGGTGGAGTCCCCAGGGACCGAGCAGTTGAGCCGCAGCTTCAGGAAGGACGTCCAGTGGCGGTCCAAGGCCCGCGGAGAGCCGCCCATGTCACGTTTACAAACGCGAGCAACTCTGGAGAACTGCACCTATGGGAAGGGAGGGGCCGTGGAGCAGGCTGAGTGAGAGGAATGCTGTGCTTAAGAGCACCAAGTGACCCATGCTGGGGTCACAGCAATTGGGGTGCTGGGTAAGAATGGGGGGGCACGGCTGGGTGTGGGAGCAGAGCACAGGGAATCCTGTGTTGTGCACGTTAGGGTCAAGAAGGTCTCCTCTGACTCAGAAGGGATCCTTCTGGTCCAATAGAAACCCCAGGCTCCTTACCCTTCCCAGCCGGGCATCTTCCACGGAGACCTCTCGGAAGAAGAAATAGACGTGGTCTCCGTGCTCCAAAGCTTGGACGAAATGCGGCTCTGCAGTGGGGAGCAGGAGGAGAGCCTGCTCCGGAATGCAGGCCCTTACACCCACACACACAGGCCCACCCAGCCCACCAACCCCACAGAGCATCTGCCTGCCCCAGTCACCCGCTCCCCACCTCGCCCTCCCCTAGACCCGCCCTGACCTCGGAGCCACTTGGAGTCGTACTTGGCGGAGCGGAGTGGGGGCTGAGACCCCAGGCTTCTGTAAACCACAGCATCGCTGGCCTGGAAATCTGCCGCTGTGGCTGAGTATAGACTGCCCTCTGCAGGAAGGGGCAGAGGAGAACTCAGGGGTCCATACCCAGCCCCTTCCCTCCACATTCCTCCCTAGCCCTGGACAGTGCCACCACCCTCCACTTAGAGGCTTGAGGGGAAAAGACCAAGATGGAAGATACCACGGGGTGGAGGAGGGGGGTGGGGAGACACTCCCTCCAGCCATGCACCTGCTTCTCACATGCCCAAGTGCACACCTGCAAAGATGGCCACGTTGGACTGGGTGGCATCAAATGGGCACCGAGCCTGCCCACTCAGCTCCTCGCCCTCCTGCTGCAGCGAAGTTATCTGGCGGCAGAGCGAGCAAGTTCCTAGAACCCTTAGAGTCTCGGAGCCTGGCTCCACAGCCTGCTTTCTCACAGGCCCAGACCCCCTCCCCAGTCCTCTGGACTCCCTGCAGCCTGGGCCCTCCGCCCCCAGCTCCTAATCTTTTCCCATCACATTACATTGACAGCATATCATGTATTCCCCCTCATACCTCCCATCCCAACCCTGCCCTCTCCTTTGTACCCCATAGCTGCGGCACACGGGGCTGAATGAGTTCGTTCCACAGGCCAGGAGCGTCTGGGAGTCCCAAGGAACAAGGACACGGATGTAGTTGTAACACTCGTCCTAAAGAGCCCAGAATTCTCAGTCAGTGACAGGATGGAGAGGGGTGGTGTCATCACAGTTACAGCACTGGAGGGAGGGGATGAAGACCCAACAGGTTGTGTGCCAGCCCTCCGGCCTTCTATCCTGATTGCTTTTGGTAAATAGTGCAAAAAAAAAGGGGGGGAGGGGAATGCATGACTTTTCTTTCCTTCCCATGTTCCTCTATGACCTGAGCTGGACAAAATGGGAAGGCTACTGGGCATGGTAGCAGACTGTTGGAGCAGAAGCTGTAAGCTCCCCAGTGCCTCATCTCCATGCCCCCCCACAAACCTCAGTCCCCGCCTCACCGTCAGCTTTCCCCGCAAGGCACAGTTCTCCACATCCTGACTCCGCCATGTTAGATACTGGAGAGAGAAGTCGCAGAGGGAGGGTGGTGAGTGACCCGGCCCGGCCTCACTCATGGTTCCCTCTTCCCAACTGCGTGACCTCCATGAGACTTGTCCCAGGCTCATCTCCATAACCCACCCTGTCCCACACAGCCCCTCACCTTGTTGGGCACCAGGCCCTCCCTTTCTTCTTGGGCTTGAAGGTCGAAGGAGAAGACGTGATCCCTGAACAGTAAGTGAGGAGGGGTAAGAGTCAAACCAAGATGTGCCCTCAACCCTGGGCCCCGCAGCCCCCGCCTCACCCCTGGTCATCTGCTTGGGGACAAAGAGGACAGTCCCCGCTGCCCCATACCCTCCCCCTTGCCCCATGCCTTGGCATGTGTGCCCTGAGTCCAAGCGTGTCTAAGTCCCATGGTTTGTGCACCTGCACGTGTCCCCTGCAAGATGCTGCAATGGCCACGCAGGTCCCTTGTCTCCCCAGGAGCATGCAAGTCCGCCCCACAAGTGTGCCTCGGCTAGTTTACCGGGCAGCCACCAGCAGGGTCCGGTTCAAAGTGAGGAATCGCTGAAAGTCCAGCCCAAGTTCTGCAGCCACAGCATCTTCCTCCAGGCCCCGGAACCAGGATGACGGGGAAGAACCTGGAGGATATGGAGAGGCAGGGTGTGAGGGCCAGCCAGGGCATCACACATTCCCTGCCCCAGTCACATAAAACCCAGCCTTGGATAACACAGACATGTGAGAAGAGAGGTACCCCAAAACTATTAAAAATACTATAAGGGGCAGAGTGCGATGGCCTAGCAGCTAAAGTCCTCACCTTGAATGCCAGGATCCTATATGGGCGCTGGTTCTAATCCTGGCAGCTCCACTTCCCATTTAGCTCCCTGCCTGTGGCCTGGGAAAGCAGTCGAGGACGGCCCAAAGCCTTGGGACTCTGTACCTAGAGGAGCTCCTGGCTCCAGATCAGCGCAGCACCAGCCATTGCAGTCACTTGGGGAGTGAATAATAGGACAGAAGATCTTCCTCTCTGTCTCTCCTCTAGGTATATCTGACTTTGCAATAACAGTAAGTTAAGCCTCTGCCTACAGTGCCAGCATCCCATATGGGCATGGTTTGTGTCCTGGTCACTCCACTTCCAATCTAGCTCCTTGCTTATGACCTGGGATGGCAACAAAGGATGGCTCAAGTCCTTGGGATTCTGCTGCATCTGCATGGGAGACCCATAAGAAGCTCCTGGCTCCTGGTAGGAATCAACTCAACTCTAGCCATTGCAGCCATTTGGGGAGTTAACCAGTGGATGGAAGATCTCTCTCCCTGTCTCTCCTTTCTCTGTAATTCTGCATTTCAAATAAAAATACACAACCTTAAAAAAAAATACTATAAGCAGCAATGAATATTAAATCTCAGAAAAATGTGTTAGCACTTTACCATTAAATTTTTTAGAATGTTTATTCATTATTATTTTTTTAAAGATTTATTTTTATTATTATTATTATTTTTTTATTGAAAAGGCAGATATACAGAGAGGAGAGACAGAGAGGAAAGATCTTCCGTCCGATGATTCACTCCCCAAGTGAGCGCAACGGGCCGATGCTATGCCGATACTAAGCCAGGAGCCTCTTCTGGGTCTCCCACGCGGGTGCAGGGTCCCAAAGCTTTGGGCCATCCTCGACTGCTTTCCCAGGCCACAGGCAGGGAGCTGGAAGGGAAGTGGGGCTGCCGGGATAGAACCGGCGCCCATATGGGATCCCGGGCGTGCAAGGCGAGGACCTTAACCACTACGCCGCTGCGCCGGGCCCGTATTCATTATTATTTATTTGAAAGGCAAAGTGACAGATCTTTCATTATTGATTCAATTCCCCAAATGCCTACAACAGCCAGAGCTGGGGTAGGTCAAGGCCAGAGGCCAGAAACTCCATCCGAGTCTCCCACATGGCTGGCAAGGAGTCATCTGCTGCTTCCCAGACACACTGGCAGGAAGCTGGATCGGAAGCAGAGACAGGACTTGAACCAGGCAGGCACCATGAGGTTGGATAAGCTGTAGCTAACCCACCATGCCACAGCATCTGCCCTGAGAGGCACCTTCTTATGTACTACCTTAACCTAATGAAGGAGAAGTTGTTTAATACAACTTTGAATGAATTCATTTCTCCTGAAAGCACTTGGCACCAGCAATCAGGGTCAAGGCTGTCTGGTTTCAGAGCTGAGCTAGTCCCTTCTCAGAGCTGCTTTGGGGCCAGCAGTTTCCACGTATGTACCTCTATACACTGTCCCAGCTGGAGCATTCACTCCATCTCCCTCCACACCCTCCCTCGATCCCTTTCCAGGCCACCTGGGCCCTCCCAAGTATCTGGCTCCTTTGACCAACTCCTGCACACATCCTGCCTGAAGGCAGACACCATGGTTATGGGGTGTCGGAGGCTCCCAGCTCAGGTACAGCTGCTGGAGTGTCCATGAGACACTCGGAACTGCATCGCTCATGCCAATGTGGGCTACGCTCATCTGTCTTGTGACTCTCAGTAAACCAACTGCACTTCCTCCATTGTTCACGTCCTGCCAACACTTGCCAATAAAGGCTTTTCTGTCATGGTGGGACCTCAGCCCACCGGTGGAACAGGTGGATGGGAGGGAGGGAGGGATGCAAGGCAAGAAGGAGGGAGGTCAGGGGTGCTGGGAAACATGAAATAGCCCCAGCTTCCATTTTGTAGCTAAGAGTCACAGCAAACAAATGCAAAGGCTTGACCTGGTGCCAGGCTCCTTGGCACTGCCGCACACTCCTTCACTTCACCCTTAAATGCTGCCCCCAGGGAGACCACCACTATTGCCTTGAATTTTGGACCACCTTTACACAGTGAGGTAGCATTCTGCAAGGATCCAGATCTGCTGTCTGGTGGACAGTCCAAGTTCTCATTGACTACACAACACTATCCTTAAAATGAAGAACTCACCACGCAGTGGGGGTGGAGGAAGGGGGAGCTCCTCTCAGTATGGCTTGCTCACCTCGAAGATCAGAGGTCAACAAAGGGAGTGGATCCTGAGGAAAGACGGCCCGGGCCTGGGGAGGTGTCAGCAGCAGCAGCAGCAGCAGCAGCAAGGGCATGAGGTGGGGAGCACGGGGCATCCTGTGCGGGGCAGCTCAGGCCCCAGGGGGTACCCCCTCACCCATATGCTGGTGCTGAAACGGGAGACAGAGAAGAGTTCGTCTGAAAGAGGTGCAGGGAGGTCCCCTCCTGGGCTATCCCCAGAAGACCCTGGCAGGTCAGAGAAAGTGCTCCCTCTCGGGCGCTGCCCCAGGCCCCAGCCGGCTGTCGCTGTCACTCAGGGCCCTCCCCTCTCCAACCAGCGCAAACTGGCTGCTGTGGGGCGTGTCTGCACTGACCCCAGGTGAGGACAGCCCCTCCCAGTCACCCCTCCCTGACTTCCTCCTCTCTCCCGCCTGGGTTGGCTGGGTCAGGGGCAGGCTGTCAGTATAGGTGACACCTCTCGGCCCCCCTGCCTTGTGCTTCCCCCTTCTCAGCTATAATTAGACACGCACGCCTTAAAATTAGAAATAGTGACTCCTTGGCACTGGGAGGAGGAGGAGGGCAGCCCCCCAAGGCACCCTGGGAGCCATGCATTGCTGCGCCCAGGCACAGGCAGCTACAACGCAGCCAGGGTCCTCTCTTAGGCTGGGTCCTCTCTGCAGGGAGAGAGGGGGAGAGGCAGGGGGAGCAGCCTGGGGATCATGGTGCTGACCTAGGCTCAGGCATCAGGGGGCCCTTCCCACTGCTAGGAAAGAAGCTGGGGAGGGAGGAGCAGAGGGCCCGTCTTAGCCAAAAACGAATCTGCATCAAAGCCAGATCAGAAGCTAAATTTAGCTCGGGCTGCAGCTGTCTCCTCGACCACTGTGCCCCCTCCCAGCCTCTAGAGCCCCCTGCTCCATCACTGGCTCCTAAGAACCAATGCATGTACTTAGTGGGGGGAGGGGGCAGGGAGGAGTAGGAAGGGCAGCCAACCCACCCAGCCCAGCCCCTGGGTATAAAAGGGACTGGTAAGGGGAAATGGCTGAATCTGTCCCTCTTTCCCTTTCTTCCTTCCCTCATCGGGGCTGCCTCTAAAATTGAAGCATAAATAATTCAATGACAGGCAAACAGAGCCCAAAGTCCGGGAAACGATGGATATGGTGGAAGCAGTGATGAGACAGGTCTGCTTGCTACCCATCAGCCTCCCCTCCAGCCCGCCGACCCTGGCTGGTGACCCACGCAGAGGGGTATAGCAGTGGCCTGCCTCCCCTGGAGTTGAAGCTGGGGGGGAGTTGGGGGCAGAGGCTGAGCAGGCTCCAAAAATAGGGTCAAGAAAGGAAAGATTCCTTTCTTGTGCAAACAAATCTCAGTAGTTGCCCGCCCCCCCTGCCCTGTCCCACTAGGAACCCTGAAGGAGAGGCAGGCCCAGCCCTCTCCTGTCTCCCCAGTAACTTCTGTCTTACAGAGACAGGACCCAAGTGTCCCCCACCCCCAATCCAGCGTCACCGGTGGGGTGGCTGACGTCAGGTGGGGTCCCCAGAGAGTGGGAGGAGGGGAAGGGTTAGAACACCTAATGATGACCCCCTCCCCTGGGGCCCAGCTGTCAGCCCGCTAACGACCCTCTGCTTGGAAAGGGGGAGACTTCCTCCCTTCCCCACCATCCCCAGCCTGTGCTTCCGGAAGCTGGTACACCCAGGGGAAGAGAGAGGGACACAGCTTGTTTCCTATCCTTCCTAGCTGCTTACCACATCCCACCCCCCCTCCCGAAGTTGCCCTGGGCAACTGATGTCTTCACCCTGGAAACAACTTTAGTTCCTGGTAAGTGGGGAGAACAGCCAGACCCCTCGACCTGCTTCTCTGGCCCCACTGGCTTCCCCCCACCCCGCCCTCTGCTTACCTGGGGCGTTGACACCTGTAGGGGTTGAAGGGGAATAGGAGACCTCTGACCTGATGAAAGAAGGAACAAAAGGAGGGACGCGCCTAAGTCACCTGTCACCGTGTAACCTTCACAGTAGATGGGGGCGGCGGTGCAGAGGGATGCGGTGATGGTACTTTGGTTACAGAGGGGCTTGTAACTCCACGCTCAGAGATGTGAGGGCAGAGGAGACAGTCCCAAGTCAGAAACTCTCAGAACTGTAGGGTCAGCCTTGGGAAAAGGGTCACTGAGGGAGTCTACTGGAGGCTTGAGGACCACTCCCATGTTAAAGCCCTCAGACTCCAACAGCCTTCTGAGCAAAAGCGCCCTAGCCAGGGACAATGGAGTCTAATTTGCATCTCATTTACATGCTTTTCATTTCCAGGCAAAATGTTCTGATAGCGAGCACCCCCCCTCCGGCCCCTGCCTTCTTCTAGGAGTGAGCAGGCCTTACCCCTCTGCCCCCAATTTCTCTGCCCCCAGGGACCCACACCCCTTTTTCACTTGGGGCTGGATCCATCCAGCTTCTAAAAGCACTTTGCCTTTCTCCCTTAGACTCAACTGTGACACACCTTTCAGAGGAGTTTCCTCAATTGCTTTGTGGAGCAGCATCTGGGTGGCTCCCGCCCAACCCCAGGCCTGGGGACAGGCTCCCAGGGTCCTGGAGTCATCCCAGCTGCAGGCCCCCTCCCTCTGAAGCAAATGAGAGATAACTGGCCCACTTTCTCCCCCTTCCAGATCCTCCCTTGCTGGGAAGAAGAGGAAACAGCCTTCCTCACTCCTTCTGGCCCAGCAGCCACCTCTGGGGAGTGGCCAGGGTCATAGTCAGAGTCTAGCGAGGCTGGGGAAGGGGAGACCAGGCTGGGGACAATAGCAGGAAGCCCGTGGGCTGTTCTCCGGCCCCAGTCCACCCTCCTCAGGGGAGCCAAGGCGCTGGGAGGACCTTGCCAAAGAGCCTCCTTCGCTTCTCCAGCTTTTCCCCACCCTCAGCTCAGCTCTCTGCCCCAGGCTCAGCACCTTCCCTCCCGCCGCCCAACCCCCAAGGAGGATAATCCAGGTGTCTAGCGCCTCCCGGGAGGTGGGCCTGGGGCCAGGGGCTCGACGTGTCTCCCCCTCACTGGATCCAAGGCTCCGAGGAGGGGCGGGTAGCACAGTCTGGGCCGGGACCGGGTCCCAGAGCCACGTTAGCGGGAGGAGGGGCTGGAGGGGCCTTGCAGGCGCAGACTGAGGGGGATGGGAGCGGGGGTTGGGGAGCGGAGGCGGGTCTCCCAGGCCAGTGAAACAGGGCCAGGGGCTGGGAAGCGAGGCCAGCGCTGAGCTTGGTCGGTAGGTTTGGGATGCAATCGCCAGCTAGGCTCTTCTCTCTGGGAGCCCAGTCTAACAAAGCCCTGGGCCGAATGGGGTGAAGGAAAGAGCTGGGCGCTGGGGCTGCTGTCTCTTGGGGCGGGATTGGGGGGGGGGGGGGCAGCATTCCCGGACTCTCTGCCCAAGCCAATCCCCCAAGGAGTCTTCGGTCTCCCGCCTGCGCAAGGACAGACGCGCAGTCCTGACACCAAAGTCCGGAACGACGCTTCCTCCTGCCCATCCCTGCAGCGACATTGAGAGGGGCTGCTTCTCCTTGCAAAGTCTGGGTGCCTTAGTTTCCCTGCTGGGAAGGGGACTGGGCAGGGGCCAGGTCTTCCTCCCTCTGCACGGTGCGTGCCTCCAACAATCCCTTTCCAAGCTCTCCAGACCAGCTGGATGCAACTCGGAGAAAACCCTGACGGAAAAGGCGTCCAGATCCTTTGCCCGATCATGCAGTTGGTGGGGCTCAACCACGACCCCTTCGTCCCCCGAGTGCCGCTACTCTGACGGACGGCCCTCTTCGCCAGCCAGACACACACGACGCGCCCGCACCCTCCGGATCCCTGGAGCACTTGGGAAGCTTGCCCCTGGCCAGTGGCGCCCACCCATGCCTACCCGGCTCCCCGAAGCCCCAGCTCTGTCCCCGGATACTTGCTCTCCGAGATCCGGGTCAGCTGGATCCAGATCGCAGCGAGCAGCCAGCGGCCCCGCGAGGCGCGGAGTTCGCAATCCGTAGTTGGGGTACAGAAGAGGTATGAGGAGCGTCCCAAATGGACCGTGCTTGGATCTGGGCTCCGAGTTACTGTCGGGCCGGGAGAACCCTGGGTCCGAGGGCAGCCCCCCACTCTGTCCGCGGATCCGCGGAGGAAAACAATGCGACCGCCCGGAGCTCTGGGCTCGGCCCCAGCCGCCCCGCCCGCCTCCCCGCCGGACCCGCCTCCGGCCCGCCTCCAGGTCGCCACAGCTAATCCCGCCCTCGGAGGTCGGCGAGATACCGCCTTCTCGTCACCTCTCCGCCAATCGTACGGATCGGGGCGGGACGCCAGGAGCCTTGTCCACCTAGAGCGCCAGGCCGGGAGGGCGAGCCGGAGCCCGGCGCGAGATGGAGAGAGCCACCGACAGTCGCTGAGACCCGGACAGGGGAGGAGACACACACAGACACACAGACCGAGCTGACAGAGAGACGGGGGAAGCACATCTCACCGGGAAGCAGGAGAAGCTGGCAAAGGAGACAGGAAACCCGGGGGCCTCGGCAGGGCTGGGCTGGCGAGCCTGCGCCGTCCTCCCCGCCTTCCCCTCCCCACGGCTTGGGCGACCCCGCTCGGAGGGAGACCGCCCCTCCTGCCCCGCCTCTCCTCCACTCCGCCCCAACCCTTCGTTCTCTGTGGACCCTTCAACTTCTTCTTATTTCTCCCCATGTGCAGCTGCTGGTTCGATCCTGACCCCAATAAGAGGCCTACTGCACTTGGGGCGGGACTGGAGACCTGGGAAGGGGAAAGAGACCTTGTCAACAGGGAGCTTCCCCTCTCCTCTACCGGCACGGCAGGATGGACTTGGGCCACTAGGGCAGGAATGAGGGAGCCAGGAAGCCACTGTGCCTGGCAGTCGGCCTGCTCGTTGATGGAAGAGGACAGGTGAGAGGGGTTGAAGCCAGAAGAGGGCTATGGGGCCCAAGCCCAACTGACCAATGGACTCTGCTCGGGAAAAGGAGCGCTGAGAGAGTGGGACTGACCATGGCCCCAACCCCACACAGACGCAGGCTTGGTGGCACCTCGTTTTTGCTCGGAGGGCCCTGGGCATCCTGTCTGACCGAAACACTGTTCCTTCTCCATCCTGATCTCCCATAAAGATCCTTTTACTCTAAGAATGTCACTGAGGAGAGAGAATAAGGCGTCCAATTTGGTATTATTGTCTGCTAGGATTCTTCCCTGTGTGGGGCTGGGACAAATGACATTCTCAAAATTCCCAGGCAAGTAGGTGATCTGGGAGACATTGGCATTCTTGGCTAGTTCTGAATGGGCCCTTCCACTGGCATCTTGGTATCTGGACCAGAGGAAAGGAGGGGCAGAGGTTTGCCACTTCTCGGCCAGCCTTACGGGACCTGGATCAGGGTGGGCAACACCCCGCTGTGAGCAAGGCCCATGAACATACGTGCTAAGAGACACACTCAGAGGCTGAGGGCTAGGAGAAGGTGCAAGATCAAAGGAATCAGAAGCGATGAGGCAAGATGAGTTGCTGAGGGAGCCTGCACCCCAAGCCATTCAGCAGACAGTTGGGATTATTTCAAAGACTAGAAAAAAGTTTTGAGAGAGGGCCCAATACGGAAGCCTAGTGGTTAAAGTCCTCCTCTTGCATTCACTGGGAACCCATAAGGGCGCTGGTTCATGTCCCGGCTGCTCCACTTCCCATCCAACTCCCTACTTGTAGCCTGGGAAAGCAGTCAAAGACGGCCCAAAGCCTTGGGACCCTGCACCCGTGTGGGAGACCTGGAGGACGTTCCTGGCTCCTGGCTTCAGAACAGCTCAGTTCTACCTATTGCAGCCACTTGGGAAGTGAACCAGTAGACAGAAGATCTTTGTCTGTCTTTTCTCTGTAAATCTTATTTCCAATAAAAATAAATAATTCTTTTTTAAAAAGTTCTGGAAGAAAAAAAAATTAAAAAGAAAAAAAAAAGAAAAAGTTCTGGAAGAAAAACTTCTTTTTTTTTTAAAGATTTATTATTTTTATTATTTTTTTATTGGAAAGGCGGATATACAGAGAAGAGAGACAGAGAAGAGAGGAAGATCTTCCGTCCGATGATTCACTCCCCAAGTGAGTGCAACGACTGATGCTATGCTTTGGGCCGTCCTCGGCTGCTTTCCCGGGCCACAGGCAGGGAGCGTGCAAGGTGAGGACCTTAACCACTGCGCCACCGCGCCGGGCCCAAGAAAAACTTCAAAACATCAAGGCACCCAGCTCAAGGAAACAGCATTCTGGGGGCAAAACTACATTGATTTCAAAGGCTTTGAACCAAAATAAACTCATCTTCAGTTTTCTTTTGTTTCTTTTTAATATTTACTATTTAAAAGGCACAAGGACAGTGGCAGAGAAAATGAGAGCGAGAGCTACCATACTCTGTTTCACTGTCTTAATAGCCACAAAGGCTGGTCCTGGGGCCCAGAGCAGTAACCTAGCGGCTGAAATCCTTACCCTGAATGCACTAGGATCCCATATCCGTGCCGGTTCTGATCCCGGCTGCTCCACTTCCCATTCAGCTCCCTGCCTGTGGTCTGGGAAAGTGTCCAGGACGGCCTGAGGCCTTGGGACCCTGCACCAGTATAAGAAACCTGGAAGAAGCTCCTGGTCCTGGCTTGGGATCAGCCTGCCTGGCCATGGCCAGAGAGGCCACTTGGGTAGTCAATCAGAGAACGGAGTATCTTTCTGTATCTCCTTTCTGTATATCTGACTGTCCAATAAAAATAAGTAATAAAATCTTTTTTAAAAAAATGGGTGGCTCTGTACCGTTCCAAAGTCATGAACCTCCATCCAGGCCTCCCACGTGCGTGGCAGGCGTCCAAACACTTTGGCCACCTGACCACCCTCCACTACATTCCTAGGGACATCAGCAGGGAGCATTATGGGAAGCTGAACAGCTGGGCCTCTGGTAGAGGATGCTAGTGTAGCAAGCAGCAGTCTAACATGCAATGCTGCAATGCAGACAGGCCCCACTCTCCTTCCTTCCTTCCTCCCCTCCTTCCTTCCTTTAAAGAAAAGCAACACTGAGCCCAGTAGGATACCTCAGTGGCTACATTCTTACCTTGCAAAAATTGCCATCCCCCATGGGCACCAGTTTGTGTCCTGGCAGCTCCACTTCCTGTCCAGCTCCCTGCTTGTAGCCTGGAAAAGCAGTCCAAGATGGTCCAAAGCCTTGAGACCTGCACCCATATGGGAGACCTGGAAGAAGATCCTGGTTCTGGCTTTGGAACGGCTCAGCTCTGGCTGTTGCAGCCACTTGGGGAATAACCCAGTGAAGGGAAGAGCTTTTTCTGTGTCTCTCCTTCTCTCTGTAAATCTACCTTTCCAATAAAATTTTTTAAAAAATTTAAAGTAACACTAAATGAAAGCCATGGAGGGGGGATGTGGTGCACTGGGTTACACCACCATCTGGAACACCAGCATCTCCTGTCAGAGGCTGGTCTCCCAGCTGCTCTGCTTCTATTTTTTTTTTTTTTAAGATTTATTTTTATTATTTTTTCATTGGAAAGGCGGATATACAGAGAGGAAGATCTTCCGTCCGATGATTCACTCCCCAAGTGAGCGCAACGGGCCGATACTATGCAGGTCTGAAGCCAGGAGCCTCTTCCGGGTCTCCCACACGGGTGCAGGGTCCCAAAGCTTTGGGCCGTCCTCGACTGCTTTCCCAGGCCACAGGCAGGGAGCTGGAAGGGAAGCGGGGCTGCCGGGATTAGAACCGGCGCCCATATGGGACCCCGGGCGTGCAAGGCGAGGACCTTTAACCACTTGCGCCACCGCGCCGGGCCCAGCTGCTCTGCTTCTGATCCAGCTTCCTGCTGCTGCTTCTGTCTGCGAGGCAATAGATGATGGCCCAAGTGCTTGAGTTCCAACTCATATGGAAGACCCAGAAGGAGTTCTTGGCTCCTGACTTCAGCCTGGCCTCTTCTCTGCCTTGGAGGCATTGGGTGACTGAATGAGTGTGTTAAAAATCTCATTATTTGGGCCCAGCATGGTGGCTTAGCGGCTAAAGTCCTCACCTTGAATGTGCCAGGATCCCATATGGGCACCGGTTGATCTTCCTCTCTGTGTCTCCTCCTCTATGTATACCTGACTTTGCAATAAAAATAAAATAAATCTTAAAAAAAAAATCTCATTCTATCTCTCCTCTCTCTCTGTTATTCTGCCTTTCAAACAAAATATAATCTTTTAAAAAGCTATATTGAACATAATTTCTTAGATGAAAAAAGAAATAGTCTTCATCATGACTTCGGGAAAGAAGTTGGATACATTTTATCATGGAAGACAGAAGAACTTGATGCAAAACAAAGAAGAAAATGTTCCAGAGAAATAGCGTAAGCAAAAGGTCCTGTGAGGCTGATTTTTTAAAAAGGCATTTGTTAGGAGCATGCAAAAGAGAGACAAAATGCAGAAAACTCAAATGCCAACGTGAGCAGTTTAAATAATTTGATGGGGGAGGATACCGTGCAATTATTTTTTTAAGTTTTTTTTATTGGAAAGTCAGATATACAGAGAGGAGGAGAGACAGAGAGAAAGATCTGTCCGATGATTCACTCTCCAAGCAGCCACAATGTCCAGAGCTGAAGCAATAGCCAGGAGACTCCTCCAGGTCTCCCATGTGGACACAGGGTCCCAAGGCTCTGCACCATCCTTGACTTGTGGCTTGTGGTTTGTCCTTGTGGCTTTTCCAGGCCACAGGCAGGGAGCTGGGTGGGATATGGAGCTATGAACCGATGCCCATATGGGATCCTGGCGCATGCAAAGTGAGGACTTTAACCACTAGGCTATAGCACCAGGCCCTACAATTATTTTTGTTTCATTTTCAACCAAGAAAACAGAGAAATGACTGACAAGGGAACACGATGGTCAAAGGATGAAGGGAGAGCAGCAATCAGATGAGGATGAAGGTACTGGGCATG